AGGATCAAACCAGGGATGGCTGCGTGCAAGGGAAGTGCCCTAAGCTGACAGATCAATGATCTGATTAGTTTGTAGGAGCTCCTCAGAACAAAAGGCAACCAGCTCTAACCAGTATCTGCTCGTGATTCTGGAACTAGGAGACTTGGGGACCACACATGGCCGTGTTCAGGGCTTCCCAGAGTTGCCCGAGCGGTGCTCAGGGGACCAGACGTGGTGTTGGAACTGGACTGGGTCACGTGCCAGGCAAGCCCTCAGCTTCTGTTTTTGATCAGACACGCAGGTCAGCCATCTCCACCAGGAAGGGCATTCCAAGGCTGCTCGCTGGCAACAGGAGGGGCCAGGGCTGGCAATGGGCACCACCCAGACACAAGCCACACCATGGCCAACCGTCACCAGTCAGGCTGTGACCTCCCAGAGCATTTGGAGCCAAATTCTTGCAAAAACGGCTGTGCCTGCACCCTCAAAGCACTTCCTAAACTGGGCCCTCCTGCCCTCTGCAGGTCCATCATTCTGACCCTCGGTGAGTCCCGCTGCCCAACACTCGGGGCAGGGAGGGCAGAAAGGGGCTCCTTCCCCTCAACTCCCGGCTGTAAGGTGAGTCCTATTTCCAGCCGCTCTCTCAGTACCTTGCAGAACAAACGCACCGGAGCGCATGTATATTTAATATCAGGGGCGCCGTTGCGATGGCGGCTGCAGAAGGTGAAACTGGAACCCTGAGAGCTTCCTAAGTCCTTGCACTCCACTCGCAAACACCCGGGTCATAAAGACAGTGCATCCTGGCCCCCTTTAAGCAGCCCAGAAATGAATCGAGGAAAGACAAAAGGCTTCTGTACTTGGGGGTCTGGGATGAGGCGCGGGGCAGGGGCAGGGCCCAGAGCGACACGCGTTAATTAGGAGGTAATAAAAACCAGTTATTTCACTTCTGAAGCTGCTGATTCGACACACATTTGGCCCTTCGTTCTTTCATCCCCTCTCTCCTCATCTGCCCGGACTTCCTGCTGCCACCTCGCCTGCCCCCCCACCCCAACACTGCGGTCTCTCGAGACTCCTAAGTCCCAATTCTAGACTCTGAATCGCAGCGTCTGGCTTTCTAGATCTTCTATGTGCCCCCAAGAACAGGGGCCCAAGAGCGATGGAGATGAGCCAGAGGCAACCCGGCGTCCTTTCAACCCTGTCTCAGGGCGATGCCTGCTTCTTCTCAGTGGGGAGCAGTGGCTATCAGGCACCTCAAGGCCTGTTCCACCCAGAGCTGGTCCCTGGCATCACCTGCCCTACTATGAGGACAGGCTCCACGGTCAGGAGGCAGTTCGAGGCTCTGGGTGCAGCTCTGGCTGTCAGCTCTGCAAGTTGTCCGACCGCAGCAGAGAGCATGCAGCAAGGGCACCCAGCAACTGTTAAATCCGGGAATGGGCTGAGACGAACACAAAGGAAAAGCCTTCTGATGGGGGGGGGGGGGGGGGGGGCGCAAACCCTCCAGACTGGAGGTAGAAAAACTTGGGATGGGGGTTCCTCTCCTCACCAACACAGCCCTCTGTAGTGCAGCAGCCGACCTGGACCCCGTGGGGCTGGACAGAGAACACAGCGGGGAGGGCTCTTGCCTTGCATGTGGCGGACCATGGTTTGATCCCCGGCATCCCATAGGGTCCCCCAAATCTGCCAGGAATGATTCCTGAGTGCAGAGCCAGGAGTAAGCCCTGAACACAGCCAGGTGTGGCCCCAAAGCAAAACAAAACAAAACAAAAAGGCACCGACTTCTGGGCTCTTCCTGCTGAGTGAGGGTCTCCACGGCAGCAGGTGCTGGGTGAGTCCCTCTCACTCCTGGTGGAGGTTTTGCAGAGGCCCCCTCTGTCTTCCCCAAAGCCCTCAGAGCCACTTTTTCTCTTGTGTTAGGCCAGACGCCCGCAAAGGTAGCCCTGGTGTCCACCCAATAAGCTCTCCACCCAGTTTCAAGGCCAGGAGAAGCCCAGAGGAAGCGGGGAAGGCTCAGTTCCCTCCTTCCCAGGCCAGGCCGCGTGAGACCACCCCCCAGGCCACTGGAAGGAGATCACAGCTCGGTGGAGGCTCTGGAGGCTCAGCTCGGCTTGCGGCTCCCTGGTCAGGCCAAGGCCCGCCCTGCTGAACTCTCTGCCCTGCCTGCAGGAAGTGCCACACTGGATGCCCTTCTTCAGGACGCCCCTCTTTCCCTCCCTGTGGCCCCCACGACCTCTGCACCTTTCCCTTTGAGCCTTTGTAGCAGCTATAATTAAAGGGCATTTCATGTAATTATCAGTTTAACATGTGTCTCCCAGGAAGACTCAGGACAGACTGGCAGACTGACAATGAAAGGGGAGCTGTGGTCTGGGAGACCCGCACCCTGAAGAAAAAGGAGGGGTTTATGTGCACAGAAAACAGCCCAGCGAGGTCACGGGCCCACCAGCGTCAGGCAGACGCATCAGCATCAAAGCAGAAAAGCACCCCTGCAAACACAGGCCGGCAGCAGGGCCAGGATGCAGGAGCAGAGGGCTGAGGCAGGAACCCCACTTCAAGCCCCGGAACCTCAGGGTCCCTCGGCTCTGCTGGGCCACACATGCGCACACCCAAGCAAGCGAAAAGCACACTGAAATCTCAATCAAGTCTGCAGAGTTCGGTCACAGCGCCATGTTCGGGCTCACGCCCAACACGGCCATCTCCGCGTGGGCACAGGAGCCCTGACAGGGGGTCTGCCCAAGCCTCCTTTCAAGCCCCTGAAGTTCTGGAGGTACAGCCCCGCCACCACCATGAGGACAGAGATGATGTCGCACCTCATCACCCACCTGGGGGCGGACACTGGAAGTCTGCCCTGCCTGTGCAGGACTGAGCTTCCCTGCAGCACCACAAGTACTGAGCAGGCGGTGAGCAGGAGCAGGTCGAGTGAGTACGCGCAGGTGTGAGCACACCCACAGGGGCCACGGACGGGAAGATCTGGAAGCTGAGAGCGATGTGGCCCAGGAAACCGGAAGGCAGGACTGCCCCGCACCAGACTGGACGCCTCTCCGCCCGAGGACCCAGGACCCGCCGGCCCAGCATCTCCTGTTCTTCCTGACTGGAGCTGTTGCAGCAATGACTCATGGGAAAGCCTGCAGGTCCACGGTCACCTCCCTGTGTGTCACCCCAGGCTCCTGCAGGAAGGGAACCCTCCACGGCAACGTCCACCCTGTCTTACCAACCAGGAAGGGAAACCTGCATGGCAAAGTCTTCTCCACTTACGAACAAGGATTTCCCCCCGATCCACAGCTGCGCGGGCACAGAGCCCGGGGCATGGGGCAGAGCGATGGGTGATAGAGAGCTCTCGCCTCGAGACTTGGCACCCAAGTACCTGTGCAGGGGTCAGTCCATCCTCACTTCCCTTCCTCTCCCCGGAAGGACCCCGCATAAGGAGGAAGGAAGAGGGTTCAGACGCACGGTGACACTTGTCACTCGAGAACACCCAGTTCCTACATGCCGCCCTGTGGAACTGGGGGGGCTTGAAGAAGCAGCACTCGGTGGCCAGTGCACCTGGAGTAGCAGGGGACACCTGAACCCTTTCAGACCGGGCCAGGTGCATCAGAACAGATTGACCTTGGTGCTCAGCCCACACTCCAGTCCCCGCCTGCTCCCCTGGCTTTGTGACAACCTCTCAGGGCCTGCTGCAGGCCAAGCCCCTGTCATGCCCCACGGTCCTGATCCCAGTGAATTGGATTCCCAGACCCCTAAACTCCAGAGAACCGTCCTGCGAGCACTGAGCTCCAGTATAAGTAAGAGGAGCAGCTGTGGGGAGACGTCCCCCCCAAGGGTCCCCGCTATTCATGAGCTGGACTTTTCCAAGCACAACTGACAGGACTCTCCCCTGGCTGCAGGCCACCCACACACAAGCAAAAGCTCAAGGGGTCGCACTGGGCCTGTCCTTCTTGTCCCACTGCGCCCGATTGTCCGCCCAAAAGGAAGAGTCGGCTGAAGGGTCCCCAAACCTGAGAAGAGCGAGCCACAGTGCTGCCCTCGGGAAGCCAGGAGGAAGGCAACGTGAAGAACCCTACATGTGACCCCAGAGACCAAACTCTCTTGCCCACTGTTCTTGCCAGAAGGACACAGAGCACCCCAGGGCCAGGGCCTGAGGGAACCAGTCTGAGGTCCTATTCCAAGCTGGCAGGCTGCCAGTTGACAAGCCAGAAAAGCTCGAGGTGGGCCGGGGAGATAGTACAGTGGGGAAGGCACTTGCCTTGCATGCAGCTGGCCTGGGTTCCACCTCTGACATCCCCCAGCATCGCCAAGAGCGATCCCTGACTGCAGAGTGTGGAAGTAACCCCTGATCATCGGCGGGTATGGTCCCCACAAACCAAAAAAGAATGAAAAAATAAAACACACAAGAGGGCTCGGCAATACAGCAGGTAGGACACTTGCGGTGCATGCTGCTAACCCGGGTTAAATCTCCACCATCCCAAGGAGTGCCTGAATCTGCCAGGGGTGATCCCTGAGTGTAGAGCCCTGAGCGATACTGGGTGTGGCCCTAAAACAAACAAACAAAAACAACCACCACCAAAAAACTCAAGAAGCAGGATAGACAAGACCGCGGGGAACCTGGCAAGAGAGGCAGCACAAGGTGAGTAGGGCATTTGCTTGCCTCCAGGTTTAATTCCCAACACCACATAAAAATCGCCATCCCCTCCCCCCAGCACTGCCAGCGGTGATCCCTGAGGGCAGAGCCAGGAATCAGCCCAGCCCCAGGACTGCCTGCCAGGTTCGGTACCAAAAAGCAAAATTTCTAAAAATTTTAAATAAACAAAAATGAAACACGAAGGGGCAGCGGCACTCAGGGTCAGCCATCAGACAGGAACAGCTTGGCTCCAGAAGATTTTCTGATACCTAATGAGAACTTGGGGCGCAGTCCTTCCCCTTCCTCCACGGAACCAACAGGTCCCAGACGCCCTGAGGCCTCAAACCCTGGCACGTGAAGCTAGGCCGAGACCCTCCCCTGGCAGACAGGAGCTCCGAGCACTTTTACTTACACGTGTCCAAAAGCAGGACTGGAGGAGCAGATTCCCAGGGGTGCTAAGTCCCTGTCCACACACCTGGATGGGGCTGGAGGGGGTTCTGTGAATTTCCCGGGGCCTGGGACTGATTCCGTTCCATCCAGGTCGACACCGGCGGCCGTTTTGCACAGGAGGTGGGGAGGGAAGAAGGGTGCCCTACTTAAGGTACTGGGCGGGGGTCCACCCGGCAGGGAGGAAGGATGCGCAGCCCTGGGCAAAGGACCACGGCCGGGCGGAGAGGCGCCCCCGTCTCCCAGCCTTGTCCTCCGAAACCGGGGCCCAAACGGAAAGATGCAGCGCCCGGAAAAGTCGTCTTCAAAGGCAAGTTGGGGAAGGGAAATGGAAAAAAAGAACCCGGACACGCACGAGTTAGCAAGTCCGCGCTGTCCGGGCGCGCGCCGTGGGCCGGGGCGCGTCGGGCGGGCCCCGGCGCTGCCCGCGGGTCCCCCACCCCCGCGCCCACGTGGGGGCGGGGGTCCCTCGTCTGACGCCAGCGCTCGCGGTCGCCGGCTCCGTCCAATTAGGGGCGCGACGGCGGCGGGACGGAAGGCGGCGGCGGCGCGGAGGGGGCCGGGGGCCGCGGCGGAGAGCGCGGACGCCTTCAACAGGTCCCCGGCCCCGCGCGGCCTCGGGCCGGGGGCGCGGGGCAGCGTCGGGCCGGGCGGCCCCGCGGGGGCCCCGGCCTCCCGGGCCCGCGCGGGCGCAAAGTTTGCGGGCAGCCGCCGGGCCGCGGGGGCGCGGCGGCGACGGGGGCGCCGCGGGGAGGCGGGGGCGGCGCGGGACACCCACGTGCGGGCCCGGGGCCGCCGCCCCGCCCGCCCGCCCGCGCGCCCCGCGCCCTCCCCGCCCTCGGCCCGGCCGCCCGGCCCGCGCCGCTCGGCCGCCGCACGCCGGGGCGCGGGGGGAAGGACGGCGACATGTTGGCGGCGCGGCGCGGGCCTGCGCCGGCGCGGGGCCCGGCGCTCCCGCGAAGGGCGGCCGGGGGGCGGGCCGGGCGCGGCGCGGGCGAGCGGCCCACCACCCACCCCGGCCCGCGCCCCGCGCCCGCGCCCGCGCCCCGCGCGACACTCACCCTGCTCCGGGCGCGGCTCCTGCGCTGGGCCCGGGCGGCCGGGGCGGGGGCTCCTGCGCCCACCGCCCGCCGCTGCTGCGCGCCCCCCGCGGCCGCTCGCCGCCTCCCGCGCCCGGCCGCGCTCCTCTTCCTCGCCCTTCCTCCCTCTCCCCGCTCTCCCTCTCCCTCGCCCTCGCTCTCCCTCTCTCCCTCCTCCCCCTCTCCCTCCTCCCTCGCCCTCGCCCTCCCTGGAAGAAGGGAACGAGGCAGGCTGACGTGGAGAGATGCAAAACAGCTCCCCCTCGCCGAGCCCGCGGGCCGGGCCGCGATCGGCCTTTTATCTCTCTTTTGTTTTCTCACTTCCTTCCACCCCGGCACCCCCCGCCGGCCCAAGTTTTCTTTTCTCTCTGCCGCAGCGAGGATTTTCTTCCGCCCTTCCTCGCGGGCCACTCGCGCCCGGCCCAGGCCCTGCGGCCGCCTCTGCGCCCCTTCCCTCTTTCTCTTCCTCCTTCCTCCTTTCTCATTTCTCGGGAAGGATCGTGTTTGCTGTGGGAGTTTCGTTTGAGACTCGAGTCACGCCTTTTTTCCTCCTTTCTTTCTTTCTTTTTTTTCTTCTCTCAGCAGAAAAGGGGAACAAAGATTGACTGAAGCAAACCGGGAAAGAGGGGAAGCCTCAGAACCTCGCGTGGAAGGGGGGCCGCCAGCCAGCACAAAAGAGCCAGGGCTGCGCCCCCCTGCCCGGGAAGCCTGAGCAGCCCCCAGGAGGACCGGTCGGGTGGGGCCGCACCCCTGGGGCAGAGGTGGCACCTGGAGTCTGCAGGCTGCATTTTTAAAGTGGGCAGATGGGCCTGGAACTAGCCTCCCAGCAGAGCACTCAGCTGGAAAAGGCCCTTAGCCGTAGGCAGGGAGTGGGCCCGCAACCCAGGTGGGTCCGGGGCCTTGGGGAGCGGCTGGCATCGCCCCCTGCCCCTCACTGGACTTGCCGGGCGGGACTTGGGCCTGCTCTGCCCCTGCTGCCTGGCCCAGGACCGACCCTCGACCTCCTCTGGCGACCAGAGTGCGGGCCATGCAGCGGATCCCTATGGGTCAATTATTCATGGGCTACCGGGCCGGTCCTGTCCGCAGCCTCTCCAGAGAAGTGGGGAGAAGACTGAGGAAAGTTCCCAAAGCAAGTCGGCCACGTCTCTCCTTTTCCCACGCAGGTCCAGGGCACCTGTGGGAGAGAGGCCCGGCCCTGGGCGAGGGGCACCTGCTCTGGCCGGGCTGGGAGACACGGGGTGCTGGTGAGTGTCCCGGGAACAATGGTCACGGAGGACCAGGTCACCGAGAGGAAGGGCAGCGGCTGCCCCCTCCCCTCTTCCTTCCCCTGCTCTTCCTTCCTCCGTGGCCTCTCCTTAGCTCCACCCCTTCTCCTCATCAATTCCTCCCACACATCCCCCGCTCTCCCTCCCAGCTCTCACTGGAGGGTCCCTTCTTCCCGGGAGGAGCAGATGCTGAGCCCCATTGTCTCTCCCCTCCCCCAGCCCCAGGCTTGGCCTTTGAGCCGGGCCCAGGCCAGAGCCTTGCCCCACCCTGAAGCCGCCCCGGGCTGATTCTGCGCCAGTTCCATGGTGGGCCCAGGGCAGCCCCTGGACCCCGCTGCCCGACAGACAGCCGGAGCCCCAGCGCATCGCCCTCCTGTCCTCTTGCTAGCATGTCCGGGGAGCCACCTCTCTGCCATTCCCTGTCCCCTCAGTGCCTAAGCAGCGCCTCCAAACAAAGCAGAGGCAGTGCAGCCCACCCCATCCTCCCACACTGCCCACTGGCTGGCTGAGAACTCTGCGCCAATCCTGTGAGGAGCTAAGGGCCTTGCCTGCAAATCCCCTCTTTGCTTTTGCCCTGCAGATGGGCAGGGTAAGGCAAGACAGCTGGTGAGCACTGTGCCACAGGCATGGAGGGGTAGGGGAAGCACCCCCAGGAGTGGTCAGGGCCCGCTGGCTTCCTGGAGGAGGTGACATCTAAATGAGTCTGCATTCATGGGAAGGGACAGGCTGTTCAGAGGCCCCAGGGCGAGAGCGCATTCTTACAGATTCCTAGAACTGCCTCAGGGATCTGCTGGAGGAGGGGTGGGGGAGGGTAGTGTCAGGGCACAGAGAGAGCAGGGGTGTGGGGGACAGCGGGAAGGGAGGTGGTGGTAAGGAGAGGGAGAGGTTCTTGGGAGCCACCCGGGGTCAGCGCCAGTGTGGCGACAGCCTTGAGCTGTTCCATAGTTTCGAGATGTAGCAGAAGATCTGTGGGGCCCCCGGCATCCTGGGCTTGAGGCCCCCCAGATGTGCCACTTGCCCATGGCGAGCAGCCTCCTCCGGTTTCCCATCTGGAAGATGGAAGAGCCAGGCCACACACCCTGGACTGGGCCAAGGGGCTCTCGGGAGTGCCAGGGAGGTGCCCAGACAGCCTGCCCACAGCAGGGAGCGGCGACTCACAGGGCAGTGACTCACCATGCCAGGAGGCCTTCCTGTGGCCAGCGCTAGGGACGCCTCCACCTGATAGAGATGGCCCAGGCAGGAGCAGGAGCGGCAGGTGGAAGGCTTGGCCTCAGCGCAGAGCAGGACTCTGCCTGAAAAACAAACAGGAGTTAATGGGGGGGGCCCAGATTCGAAATATGGCATCCCATAGGGTCCCCCGAGCACTGCCAAGAGTGAACCTTGAGCGCAGAGCTGGGACTAAGCCCTGAGCACTGTGGCCCCAAAACAAAAAGAGGGGGACTAAGCTGCTCCAAGTAGTAGCAGGCACCTGCCTGGATAATCTTCACCCCAGGACAAGGGATGGACAGCAAAGGAGGAGGGCAGGGGCCAGCTAGGCCCGGAGCCAGGGTGAAATCTCTAAACCTCTGGCACTCCGCCTGGGCTCCTCATCCTCTTGCAACACGCAGAAAAACTTAGCACCTACCAAGTACCCCGGACCCAGCCCGACCCAGAGCTCTGGTTCCCACATGGACACACCGCCAACTTCAGCTGCGTCTGTGACCCCACGGTCACTGAAGTTCACTGAGAACCAGCGAGGTGACAGGGCAAAAGGGCCCCCAGTAGAGGCCCAGTGTTTGAGTTTACAAACTTGGGCCGTTTATAGCCACATGTCTAGAATGAAAATGCACACAGAGAATCTCTGCAGGTCAGAGCTGCTGAGTAATGAGTGGCTGTGTAAGCAGTTCCACTACAAAATGAAGAAAATGGCAAAGCTCTAGTCCTCCGAAGCACCCAGAGAAGCAAGCCTGTGTCCCTGACCTCCTTTCCTACCCCGAACGCTCACGCCCCCTTCACCAAGCAGCATATTCTAGGTGCTGGGGGGAGGGGGGTAATAGTCTCTGGCTAAACCAACTGTTGGGCTGGCTTCTAGTTTTCAATTCTGTGGGCCATGGCGATAAACTTCTTAACAGTCACCAATGTACCAGGCAGACCGGGCCACAGAAAAGCTGCAACGTTCCCAAGGTCACAGCTACAGCTATGAGCAGGAATTGGCTGCCAGCTTCCAGCTGGGGGCTCTTCTCAGCACCTGTTTCCCCCTCAAGGGAACTGGACCCCTGCTTGTACCCCATTTTATCTTTCTCCCTCCAGATTGCTGTGTAGGGAGAAGCCGCCAGGCAGGCGACCCGGCCCTGTCTAGTTCCCACAGCTGGCTGGACTTTACACAGAGCAGAGCCATGCCAGCAGGAGGTGGCGGCAGGCTGGCAGGCGCCACCTTTAGCTGGTCCCCTGGCCTGTCCAGGCCCAGGAAAGAGCCTCCAGATCCACAGGAAAGGAGCTGGGCTGCTCTGACGCAGAAGCCGTAAACGGAAACCTCCCCTGGGCATTTCAGAAGCGCCACAGTTGCCCCCTAGAGCCGAGATGGGGAGGAGGTTTGTTATGATAAGGTTTATTAATCCTGGGATCTCCCAGAGGGAGGACCACTCAGGCTGTGGACCTCCTAAAGCCTTCCTGTCCATCACAGAGAACCGAGGAATAAGGATCGACCGAGGGATGGGCACGAAACACCTCTCCAGCTTGCACTTGACACAAGAATAACTCAGCAGGTGCTTGGTAAAATTTTCCTTTCACTGGCACGCTAAAAAAAGTTTTCAAGATCAATGCGTCCCAATATCTGCTATTAGTGTGGATACTGAACCACCTTCCAGGGAAGGAACAGGACCCCAGGGCCAACACGGATGGGACTGCAGAAAGCATAATGGAACCAGGGCTCCACCAGAGGGTAGGAAACCAGGGAGACGTGTGGCAGCACCTCCAGACCTTCAGGGGAAGTCACTTCTCTATATTCAGGGCTTCAGGGGACACCTGGAGAGGGCAAAAGTCCGCGTGGACGCATGGGGTAAACACCTGACATCGGCAAAGAAGTTTTCTGGGAGTATGATGAGGGGCATCCAATCGCCTGCTTTGGACCCATCCCCACCATTTCCAGAGGGGCGCATTTGCGTGGCTTCACCCCAGGAAGGCTCAGACCGGTGAGCTATTTGCACTTATTTGCATAAATAGCAGGATAAAGATGAGCCAGAAGAAATATGGGCAACTTCCAGGTTCACTCGAATCATAAGTAAATACCAGGGCCGCCAGGGAGGCCAGAGTAGCACATGGTTGCATGCAGGTCGCTTTGCTCCCCCACACTGCGGGGTCCCCTAAGCACCGCCAGGAGGGGCTCAAAACAAAACAAAACAGGGCTGAGGAGATGGCAGTGAGGAGGCACTAGTCTTGCACATGGCTGACCTGGGTTTGATCCCTGGTACCCATATGATCCCCCTGAGTACCACCAGGCGTGGTGAGTGAAGAGCCAGGGCCAGGAGTAACCAAAAAAAGAAAAAGAAGCAGCAGCAATGGCATGCTAAGTCATATTCTATAAATATGGAGAATTGAAGTTTGGAAGGGCTGGAGCGATAGCACAGCGGTAGGGCGTTTGCCTTGCACGCAGCCAACGTGGCCGACCCGAGTTCGATTCCTCCGCCCCTCTCGGAGAGCTCGGCAAGCTACCGAGAGTATCTCACCCGCACGGCAGAGCCTGGCAAGCTCCCCGTGACGTATTCGATATGCCAAACACAGTAACAACAAAGTCTCAAAAAATGGAGACGTTACTGGGCCCGCTCGAGCAAATCGAT